TGTATGTATTTGTGCATATCTCTGTCTCTATATATACCTGTCAGTTTTCCACATTAATTAAACTCCTGGGAGCAGATGAGGTTACCATGAGAGAATGTAGAGAGAAAAAGGAAGAGAGCCTAGGACAGAACCTTGGGGAACATATGCAAGCAAAGGAGAGGGAAAAGGATCTGTCAGACAGGTAATAAGAGAGCTAGGAGGGAGTAGTGTCTTATAAACCCAGAGAGGAAAGAGTATTCAGGAGGAAAGGGCACTTAGCTGTGAAGTCCAGCAGAAAGGTCAAGAAAGATGAGAACTGAGAAAAGACCATCGGATGGTAACTTTAGATAGAGCAGTTTCAGTTGAGTTGGGACTGCCTGAACCTCTGGATTGGTGTTTCTGAATTGGCCCTTATTCCTTGGCTATTGGATGTACAAGGTATGTTGGTGGAAGAGAGAACAAGAGGACCCAGGTGCCTTGACGAATATGATTATTCTGATAGCCAAAGGGGTCTGTGTTTATGTTCCCCTATATTGTCTTTCTCAATTAGGGAAAGCCTTGTGTATCAGGCAGTGTGATCTCCCTAAGGTCTTGGGCATCAAAAACTCTGAAGGATTGCCTCTTTTAGAGTCACTGGCATGATATCTAAGGGGATAAGTGCAGGAGTTAGTAAGAATGAAGCTACTTCCACGTTACCACTTAGGCCATTTGGGGATATTCAGCATAATCAGACCTTCAGAGTCTGACCCTGTTGGTGGGGAAAAATGCGTATGTGTGTTCAGTACAATAGTATCAATTTAATCCAACATTTTAAAAATACTGACTGCAGTGAATTGGTTTTGACTATAGTAATTCATGAAGGCTCTTTCCTAAGGGACTGCTAAATATTGGTGGGAAGAGGACCTCTACTGGTGAATTCACAAGTCCTTGAAGTATATGTAGAGTACTTTAGGCATAGCAAATAGTATGAGCAAAGGTACAGAAGTGAGAAGCCTGGGACATGTATTATTGTTCCCTGCCTTTATCTTCACCTCTGTGTAGCAAAGATCTTGTCTGCCCTACTGTGATTGTGAAGCAGGATTCTGATTTTAAATATATAAAATTAATCTTTTTAGATTTTAGATATGAAATGATTAAAGATAAGTATAAAATACATTTTAAATTAAATAAAATAAATATGAAATTATTACAAATAAAATTTTATTTTAGATATAAAATGAATGCATAAAAGAGCCAGCCCATATGAACTGCTCTATTGTCCCCTTGACATATCATGTTTTCACCTCCTCTGTTTTTCTCTCTGCTTCGGGTCTTATCATTCCCTTTCTGTGCTCTGACCCTCTGATCCATAGATCTTTACAGCCTAAATCAGTCAGCACTTCCTCTATGAAGCAAGCCTTCACTCACACCCCAGGCTAGGAAAGTTATTCTGCCTCAGATGTTACATAGGACTTTGTTTGCTCCTCTCTAATACATTTATCACATAATGCATGTTAGAGTTATCCATAATGTCTTATCCTCCTACTAAGTTCCATGAAGGCAGGGACTGTTGTATCTTATCTAAACTTTATATTCCTTCCAGAACTCAGCATTATTCTTATAAATGCTTGTTGAATGAGTGTATAATCTTGGCCACCAGCGAGCGACTGAGAAGCAATTAACACATGCACAAACAGCTATAATTGCAAAATAAGACACATGGTAGACGGGAACAATATGTTACACAGCTGCTTCAGGGGGAAGGGGCCAGGCATGACCCTGGGAGATCTGAGGGGGAGAAAAGTTGACTTCCATATAAAGGAATGAGGGGATGTTTCTTGGATGAGGTGACGTCTGTGCATGGTCTTCAGGATATTTAAAAACTCAGGCGAGGAGGTGGAAGGAAGAGGAAGGCATGAGCGCTGTGGGCAGGAAATGGGCAATACCGAAGTGCAGGAAGGATACATCTCTTCATTCAGCAGACATTTATTAAACACCTGCTGTGTGCAGAGCAGCAGAATTTAGGTAAGTGCATCATACAGCATTGTGCCCTAGAGCGTTAGGGTATTCTAGATGCATACCACTAAGGTTGGCATGAACTAGTCTGTCCAGATGGACCTTGGCCAGAGGGTTGCCATCAGTATTGAGCCTTTTGGGTGTCCTGACCAAGGCTGCAGTCCATTTTCTGGTTTCGTTCTCTGATGATGGTAGCACTTCAAAAAGCCAGTGGCATTTCCCTGGCCTTTGCTACATTTCTACCCAGCCCACAAGCCTTCTCTCCTCTCTGCTGAAAAATCTCAGCAGCGACCCTCTTGCCAGGGGCGTTAGCATTCTTCACAGCTCTGACTGCAGCACTGCCAGTCTGGCGCAAAGTTTATTTATTAATTCAGCCAAGGTAGAAATTTGCAGACTTGGGCAGTGCCTGTGCCTTTTAGAGAGGTGATGTGATATAGAGAACTAGAGTCAGAAGCCCAGGGTCCAGATCTGGCTCTGTCACTTAATGGTTGTGTGACTATATCTATATCTATATCTATATATTTTTTAGGCAGTTGGGGTTAAGTGACTTGCCCAGAGTCACACAGCTAGTAAGTGTCAAGTGTTTGGTCTGAGACCAGATTTGAACTCAGGTCCTCCTGACTTCAGGGCCAGTGCTCTATCTACCATGCCACCTAGCTGCCCCCTCCTCATATATTTAAAAAAAAAAGTAATATCTACATAACTCTCTTGCAGTTTTATTGTGAGGATCAAATGACAATGGACATAAACTATAAAATTTTAGATAAAGGTGAACTATTGTTTGTTAAGTGTGGTTTCCAAACATTGCCTTCTGTCCCACACTACAAATGCTAGCAGACTAGCTATAGGCCCCATTAATTTCTCAAGGCAGATGCTGTTGTGACTGAGGTTCTGGCAGGATGTGTTGGAGCAAGAAGAGGAGGGGATTCAGCCCTAGGACGCCTGGCTCTGCTACTAGCCATTGTAGCATGATTTTAGGGAAATTATCTAACTTCTCAGGAGCTCATATTCCTCCTCCATAAAATTATGGGGTTAAGCTTAATGACCTTTAATATCCCTTAAAGGTCGGAACATCTGTTCTTAGTTCTCTGCCAACCTTTATATCCTGTATTTCGTGTTTTAAGGCCCCTCTCAGCCCTAACTTTCTGGGTCCTAAACCTGTCTGTTCTAAAGTCTCTTCCTGAGAGATAGGTTATAAGTTTATGAAGAATAAGTTGTTAATATGTTCCCCCACTAATATTCAATTACTTGCCCAGTCCTGTCATTTCTACTTTGTAACATCTTTCCTGTCCCATGACACTACCACTGTCTTTTCACAGGCTCCCATCACCTCATGCCTGGACTACTCACTGGCTGGTCACACTGCTTCAAATCTCTTCCCACTTCAGTTCATCCTCCACTCAGCTGTCATATTCTTTTTTTTTTCTTTTGCTAAGCAATTGGGTTAAGTGACTTGCCCAGGGTCACACAGCTAGTAAGTGTCAAGTGTCTGAGCCCTTATTTGAACTCAGGTCCTCCTGACTCCCTGGCTGGTGGTCTATCCCCTGTGCCACCTAGCTGCCCTGATCAGCTGCCATATTGCTCTTCCTAAATCATAGGTCTGACTGGGTTACCTCCCCCACTATACACCCCACCCCCATTCAGTCAACTCCAGTGGCTCCCTATTGCCTCCAGGATTAATCCAATACAATCCAGCTAGGTGGCTCAGTGGATAGAGCACTGGCACTGGAGTCAGGAGGACCTGAGTTCAAATCTGGTTTCAGACCAGACACTTGACACTTATTAGCTGTGTGACCCTGAGCAAGTCACTTAACCCCAATTGCCTCATAAAAAAACAAAAAAAACCTTATTAAACATCTACTATGTGCCAGGCACTGTGCTAAGCACTGGGGATAGAATTAATAAAGAAAAAAACAGTCCCTGCCCTCAAGGAACTTACATTCTGATGGGCAGGGGAGAGAGACATAATACATAAAAGGAGGTTGGAAAGCAGAGATGGGGGCATCTTGTTCCATGAAGTTGAAAAAAAAGAACAGATACAGAGTGTACAGATACAGCGATACAGGGTAGTAAAATTACAGTATATTCATATATGACAGTTTTTCAGCCATTCCCTACTTGATTAGCGCCAACATTGTTTTCATTTCTTTGCTCCCACAAAAAGTGTTGCTATATATATTTTGGTATGTAAAGGTGTGGGACCTTTTCCTCTGTCTTTGACCTCCTTGGAGTTTGTGACTATTAGTGAGTGGTATCACTGAGTCAAAGGGTATGTAAGCTTTACTAACTTTTTTGCTATAATTCTAATTTATTTTTTTGAGATTGAATGAGACATATTCAAGATTTACAGAACTTATTTCTTATTATACCTCTTCACATATAGCACATTTAAAACAAACCAGACCACTAGTTGTCCTTTTTAATATTCCCCTCTCCTGTCTTTGTTGTCTTTGTGCCTTTGCTCATGCCATCCCCCATGCCTGAAGTGGAGTCATCCCTCCTGCCTCCAAGGAGCTCTGTAGAAGATCTTCCTTCCTTCAAGGCCCAGTTCTTGTGCCTCCTCCTCCATGAACCTTTCTCTGATACCTCCATTGCTCCTCTATCACCTAAAACCCCATAGATAGATAAGTATAGATATCTATATACGTAGTTATATAGATATCTATCTACATACCTATATAGCTATCTGTATAGATACATAGATGTGTTATATATTTTATATCTATTAGATATCTATCTAGATATATTCAATATGTATTCATAGAGGACTTGCCTGAACAGCTTTGTACTTATCTTATTTTCAGTGTATCATAGTCATTTGTATATTATTAGTCTTTCCCTCTGTTAGATTGTTAAACTCTTTGAGATCAGGGTTTGTATCATATTTGTCTTTATATCCTTGTCGCCTAGTACAGGACCTTGCATACAGAATGTGGAATTTCTCCTTTTAATACCAAAATGTCACAAGTAGACATTTTTTTGTTTAATGCCAAGGTATTTTCTTTTTCATTTGTCATTTGCTTAAGCCCAAGAAGAAAACAGGGAAGAGTGAGATGAAGCCAATTTCCCGTGGGACAGATTACACTTATGGAGTGTTAAATGTTCACCTGACAGCTTATGACATGACCCTGGTGGAGAACTATGCCAAGTATGTTCACAAGCTTTGCAACGACTATGACATTAAAGTGGAAGAAAGGTAGGCACTGTATGGGATGCCCTCTGCCAGGTGGGCCCACACTTTGCACTGGGCTTGCTGGCTCACTATGGCATGGACATAAATCCACAGATTTTCCTTCACAGGAGCTACCTAGGCAGTTGTCCAAGAGAGCCTTTGGTGGGAAATGATACACAGATGTTAGCATTATATTTAGTTTTGATTAGGTCAGATGATACATAATCAGTTGGTTTTCTTTCACCTCATCTCATATCCAAGACTTTTCCTAGCTTTACACCTTTGAATAAACAGTTGTTCCCTCCTCCCTGTGATGATAATGATGATGATGATGATGTTGATGAGAGCTGATTTTTTTTGGTAGCACTTTATGATTTGCAAAGTGTTTTTACATAAATTATCACATTTGATCCTTCCTGTCTATGTGGTCGATAGCATAGGCATTGTTATCCTTATATTATGGTTAGGGAAATTGAGGCTTAGAGAGGTTGTCAGTTGTCTTGACTGTACTAGCAAGAGACAGAGCTAGAATTCAAAGCTAGGTCCTCTCTCTGACTGAAAGGCCAGAGCTCTTTCTACTACCCTACTCACCAGGGTCAGGTAAGAATGTAAAGAACCCAAACTATTAAGAAATGTCTCTTCCTTTTTAGGTTAGTTTAACCCATTTAGTTTTAGTGAACTTGAAGAACAGATGATCTATAGGACTACTCCAGTGTTGTAACTGATAATAATGTGAGGTCTTGAAGAAGCTGACTTCATCCCTGGAAAACTTGGCTTCTGGATGTGCTCCCAAGTTATTCATCTGAGCAGGCATGTTGTTTATCCAGCCTCATTGAAATCATGGCCCCTTTAGGACTCAAAGATTTTAGTATGAGACTATCCTCTCTTGTATTTCAAGACCTCAGTTTTCCCATATGTAGAATGAGGAGAATTAAACAGGAAGGGGAGAATAGCTAGATTAACATCACATGGAGCTCATAATGACTCCAAACTCCTCCCTGAAACAAAGGCCCACCTTCTGAACATCATTACAGTTTTGGTGGTGCTCTATCATATGAGTCACTGAATAGCATGGCTACTGAAGAATTAAGATTGCAGCTCCCCTTATTGTTGGCAAAGAGAAAAGCTTGTGGTGGGTGTGAGTGGGCTGCAGCATATTAGCACTGAGGAGCTGTGCAGGAGAATCACCATGAAGAATGTTGTCCAATATAATGTAGGTGTCTTGAGAGCAGAACCATTTCATCTCTTTGTATCCCCAGCACCTCACACAATTCCTTGCTTATAATGTGTACGCAGTAACTGCTTACTGAATTGAATCAGAGATAAATGACCCAAAGAGAAGTAGACTGATAATATTTCAAGATCTAGGGATGGGATGATCAGTAGATAGCCACCATAGTCACTGGTGACTATATGATCTCAGGAGATCTGGAGAAAGACCCCCAGTGTGTTGGGGACATGGTGGCCCTCTTCTTGAAGAGCTATTTGGTGAAAGAGGAATGAGACTCATCCTGCTTTTCTTCAGATGGCAAAACCAGAAGCAGTAGGTGAAAGTTGTAGAGGAGTACATTTCAGCTTTCTGTGAAGAAAATCATCTGAACACCTGGAGCTGTCCAGAGGGAGCCTGGGCAGCCTTAGACTGTAGGTGGTTCCTCCCTCAGTCTGTAAGCAGGGGTTGGTTGATTACTTGTCAAAGATGTAACATGTAGTGAATTCTTGTTGAGATAACAGTTGAGCTAGGTGACTTCTGAAGTCCCTTCCAACTCTGAGATTCTGTGAATCCCTCTGAGCCATTTTTTTTCTCTTTGTAAAAGGAGAATCATAATATTTTCACCACTTACCTCACCAGATGTTGTTAGGAAAAGGTCTTTCAGAACTATAAAGTGCTATGGCAATAGGTGTTATTAGTATTATCATAACATTACAGTGAGTGAACCAGGATGATTAAAGGAATGTATGCAGATCATCAAAACTGCTTGGTACTGGCTAAGAAACAGAGTGGTGGATCAGTGGAATAGGTTAGGTACACAAGACACAGTAGTAATGCCTATAGTAATCTACTGTTTGATAAACCCAAAGACTCTGGCTTATTGGATAAGAACTCGCTATTTAACAAAAACTACTGGGAAAACTGAAAACAGTATGGCAGAAACTAGGCATAGATCAACATCTTACACCATATACCAAGATAAAGTCAAAATGGGTACACCATTTAGACATAAAAGCTGATACTATAAGCATACTGAGAGAGCAAGGAACATTTACCCCTTAGATTTATGAAGAATGGAAGAATTTATGACCAAACAAGAGATAGAGAACATTATGAAATGCAAAATACATAATATTGATTACATTAAATTGAAAAGTTTTTGCACAAACAAAGCCAATGCAACCATGATTAGGAGGGAAGTGGAAAACTGGGAAAAATGTTTACAACCAGTGTCTCTAATAAATGCCTCATTTCTCAAATATATAGAGAACTGAGTCAAATTTATAAGAATACAAGTCATTCCCCAGTTGATAAATGGTTAAAGGATATGAACAGGCAGTTTTCAGATGAAGAAATTAAAGCTATCTATTGCCATATGAAAAAATGCTCTAAATCACTGTTGATTAGAAAAATGCAAATCAAAACAACTCTGAGGTACCACATCACAGCTATCAGATTGGCTAACATGACAAAACAGGAAAATGATAAATGCTGGGGAAGATGTGGGAAAATTGGAACACTAATGCATTGTTGGTGGAGTTGTGAACTGACCCAGCCATTCTGGAGAGCAATTCAGAACTATGCCCAAAGGGCTATAAAAATGTGCATACCCTTTGACCCAGCAATACCACTTTTAAGTCTATACCTTAAAGACATAATACAAATGGGAAAAGGACTCACATGTACAAAAATATTTATAGCAGCTCTTTTTATAGTAACCAAGAATTGGAAATTGAGGGGATGCCCATCAATTGGGGAATGGCCAAACAAGTTGTGGTATATGAATGTAATGAAATACTGTTGTGCTATAAGAAATGATGATCAGGAAGACTTCAGAAAAACCTAGAAAGACTTATATGAATCGATGCTAAGTGAAGTGAGTAGAACCAGGAGAACATTGTATATATACATTAACAGCCACATTGTGTGATGACTAACTTTGATCCACTTTTTAGTAATGCAAGGATCTAAGGCAAATCCAAAAGACTCATGATGGGAAATGCTGTTCATACCCAGAAAAAGAACTGTGGAGTCTGAATGTAGATCGAAGTATATTATTTGCTCTCTGTCTCTTTTTTTTTTATTTATTGTTGTTTCTTCTTTCTTCTGCTTCTCCTATTGGTTTTAATTCTTCTTTACAGCATAACTAATGTGAAAATAGGTTTAATATGAGTTTATGTGTAGAGCCTGTATTAAATTACATGCCATCTTGGGGTGGGGAGAGGGGAGTGATGGGAAGAAAATTTGGAACTCAAAATCTTACGGAAGTGAATGTTGGAAACTAAAAATAAATAAGCAAATTAATTAAAAAAAAAAAGGTATGCAGTTACTAAGTGGCCATGTAAATCTTTTGATGACTGAAACTGTTTCTGCAGCTATGCTCTGCCCACCAAGACCATGGAAGTATTTCAGATACAGGAGCAAAGCAACAAGATGTTCCTGGATTCAGTTCTTACCACCCATGAACGAGTGGTTCAGGTAAGCTGTTGGCATTGATGCCATTTCTGGGACTCTATCCAGACCAGATGCTTAGAGTAGACAGAAGCCAGAAGTCTGGTTCTTTTGAAGATTTTAATTCCAGCCGGCTGTTATGAGTCATTGCAGATGCTTCTAGCTCACCCATCCCATCCTACCTTCCTTTCTTTAAAACAAAAAAACATTATTGATGTCTTTTGTTTTTATATTACCTAGATTTCTCACTGTATCCCACCTCCTTCCTGAGATCCACCCTTTATAACAGAATTATTTTCTAAAAAGGAAAAAGAAAAAAAATTCAGCAAAACTGATCAACATATTAAAAGAATATGTGATAGGCAGTGCTTATACTCAGAATCCCTCACCTCTACAGAGTATCGGGGAAATTATCTTCTTGTAGCTTTTCCTTGCAACTAAGCTTTATCTTTATTATTTCTAAATATTCAGTTTCATTTTTGTGTGTGTGGTTGTTTTCCTCTCATTGTTATAGCTACTACATGCATATATATGTATGTATGTGTATGTATATATGTACATAATTACCCTGGTTCTGCTTACTTCACTTTGCATAAGTCCGTGTAAGTTTTTATGTACTTTTCTGTATTCATCCTGTCAATCTTGTCCTATAGGCACAATAATATTCCATTATATTCATGTACCACAGTTTATTTACTCTTACCCAACCAATCAGCATCCACTTTGTTTCCAGTTCTCTCCTGTCAAAAAGTAATGCTATCATTATTTTGGTGTATGTGGAGCCGTTCATTTTGGCAGTGCCCTCCTTGGTATATTCCAAGTGGTGTAATTGCTAGGTCAAATGGGATGGACATTTTAATCACTTCATTTGCATAATTCCACATTAATTTCCAAAATGGTTGTACCAATTCACAGCTCTACCAGCAATCCATTAGTATCCTTGACTTCCCACAACCCCGAAAATATTGACGACTCCCATCTTTTGGCACACATAAAAAATACAAGCTACTCAACATGGCATTTGAGATCATCCATAATCTGGGTGTAAATTACCTTTCCAAGACTTGTATGGTCTGATGCTGAGTGAAATGAGCAGAACCAAGAGAACTTTGTACACAATAACAGCCATGTTATATGATGACTAATATTGATAAACTTAACCCTTTTCAGCAATACAAGGATCTAAGACATCCCCAGAGGCCTCGTGATGGAAAATGTTATCCACATCCAAAGAAAGAACTATGGAAATTGAATCACTATCATTTTTTTTTCTCCTCTGTTGAGTTTTGTTTCCTCTTTCTAATGGTTCCTCCTATTGGTTTTATTTTTTACTTACAACTTCACTAATGTGAAAATATGTTTAATAGGAATGTAAATGTATAGCCTATATGAGATTGTGCGCTGTCTTGGGGGAGGGTGGTGAAAAGGAAGGGGGAGAAAAATTTTAAACTCAAAAGCATATGGAGGCGATTGTTGATAAATCAAAATAAATTGATAAAATTTTTAAAAAAGAGAAAAAGAAATTTAAAAAAAAAAGAAAATTGCCTTTCCAGACCTAGTTCATAATACCCTCATATTCCTTACATTTCAAACAAACTATACTTCTGCTGTATCCTAATCAAGATTAGCCTGATACCTAAATGTAAGTGTCCTCCAAGGCTCTGGCCTGGCCCTCTTCTCTTCTCCCTCTATCTTTTTCCCTTGGTTGATCTCATCAGCTCCCATGAATTAAATTATTATCTCTGTACAGATGATTCTCAAATCTGTTGAGCCATAACCTCTCTGCTGACCTCTCTACCAGCCTCCAGTCTTATATCTCCAATTGCCCATTAGAAATCTCAAACTGTATGGCCCATAAACATCTTGAATTCAACATGTCTGAAAAACTGAGTTCATTATCTTTCCCCCAAAACCCTTCTGTCTTCCAAACTTTCCTGTTACTATTGAGGGTACTACCATCTTCCCAGTCACACAGGTTCACAACTTGGCCGTCCCCTGTCCTCAATTCCTGTCTCTCACCTTCATATCCAATCAGTGACAAAGTTCTACCATTGCAACCTTCACAACTTCTTTTATGTATGCCCCCTTCTCCTCTGTGAACTATCTTCACTCCTGCCCCAAGTCTCTCCCAGCTCTGGCCCCTCTTCTACTCAGCTGTCAAAGTGATCTTCCTAAATAGCAGGTCTGACCATGTCATCCCTGCCTCCCCTCTCCCCCACCAGTCAACTCCCATGGCTCCCTATCATTTCCAGGGTCAAATATAAAATGTTCTATTTGGCTTTTAAAATTCTTTATGCCTTGTTTCTTCCTAACTTTTTACACTTTACTCTTTTCCATGTATTCTGTGATCCATTGACACTAGCATCTTTGCTATTCCTCACACAAGACACTTCGTCTCTGGACTCTGTTCATTTTTACTGGTTGTCTCTTTTGCTTGGAATGCTCTCCCTCTTTGTCTCAGCTTCCTGGCTTCCCTGGCTTCATTTAAATCTCAGCTCCAGTTCCACCTTCTGAAAGAAGCTTTTCCCAGGTTCCCCTTAAGCTAGCATCTTCCTTCTCAGATCATTTCCAACTTACCTTGCATATATCTTATTTGTGAAAAGCTTTTTTTATATTGACTGTGAGCTCCCTGAGGGCAGGAACTGTTTTGCCTTTCTTGTATCCCTAGCACCTATCACAGTGGCAGATAGTATGTACTTAATATATGCTAGTTGACCTGACTTGAAGTGGAAGTGGTCAGCCAGGTCATATTTTATGAAAAAAATAAAGGAAGATGGAAAACTGAAGAAAGGCAATTGGATTTGAGGAAAAATGGTTATCGGTGATCCCTAAGTTTCAGTAACCTGGCTCAGAGACAGAGTCAAGATGGCAGAGTGAGAGGAAAGGAACAATTCTCAGTAACAGACTCCTAAAGAGGTGGCAGGGAAAAAAGAGGCTAAGTATGAGAGGATAACAGAGAAGGAAATACACAGTTAACAGGCTGGAACCCATGGTGAGGAGCTTGCATTTTTTATGTGTGCCAAAAGATAGGAATAGTCAATATTTTAGGAGTTGTGAGAAGTCAGGGAACTAATGAATCACTGGTAGAGCTGTGAATTAGTACAACCATTTTGGAAGTGATGTGGAATTATGCAAATGAAGTGCCTAAAATGTCCATCCCATTTGACCTAGTAATTAACCCAGCTGGCTTTTCTTTTGGTTTACAGATCAGCAGTTTGAGTTCCACATTTGCAGCAATTTTCTTGGAAATTCTTCAAAGCAATCTGCCAGAAGGGGTCAACCTGTCAGTAAGGGAGGTAAGTGTGGGTTTCTAGAGGGACTTGATGAAAATAGATTTGTGTAGGTAAGCCTAGGTCCCCTAGTGGCTACCTGTGCTCTCAAAGTAGAAATCAAACTTAGGCCCAATTCTTAGCCTTTGGATGCTCAGGCCCAAGACAGTGCTGCTGGAAATGCCGCCTGATCCAGTGATGAGAACAGAGAACAGTCTTTGAAAAAAGCCTTTTGCACATGCAAGGCAACAATAGTTATTAAGCTGGAACCCTATAACATCCCATGCTGGGACACTTCCGTGAGAAAGGATAGGGCTGGACCCTGTTAGAGCATCCCATAGTTTCCCACAGACCCCAAACCTCCCTTAGAATCATAGACACCTAGAGCGGTAAAGGACCTCTAGGGCATGTAACCCACCCACTCACCTGGTACAGAAAGCCTGCACAGCCTTCTTGAACTACTCTTGGCTTGACCATTGCCACCCATAGGGAGCTCCATCCTTTCTGACTTCATCCTCTCCCTTGTGGAAGCAAGCTCATTACTAGAATATTCTTCTCATATTGAGCTGAAATCTGCCTCCTTTGACTGTCTCCCAAACTCTTAGTTTTCCATTTTCAACCTTTCAGTCAATAAGCATTTATTAAATGCCTGCTATGTGCCAGATGCTGTGTTGAGTAGTGGGGATGCAACAAGGAGCAAGAGTCCCTCTCTTCAAAGAGTTCACAATCTAAAGGGAGGGGGGTGATAAGCAAAGAAATAACAGGTTTATATACAAGGTAAATAGGAAATAACTTACAGAGGGAAGACGGCAGAATTAAGAGGGATTGGGAAAGGCTTCCTGTAGAAGATGGAATTTTAGTTGAGATTTGAACCACAGAGAGTCAGTCAGTAAACATATATTAGACACTTATTATCTGCCAGGCTCTGTGCTAAGCCCTGGTAATGCAAAGAAAGACAAAAGATAGCCCTTGCATTCAGTGAGCTCACAGTCTCATAGGGCTATTTAAAGATATAAGCAGGATAAAGGGAAGGCACTAGCATTACAGGAGACTGGGAAAGGCTTCTTTTGGAAGGTAGGATTTTAGCTAGATTTTGAGGGAGGCCAACAAGTGGGGATGAGAAGAGAGCTTTCTAGGTATGGGGGATGGCCAGTGAAAATGCCCAGAGTCAGGAGGTGGAGTAAGCTGTTTGAGGAACATCAGGGAAACCAATATCACAGGATCCAGGCGCACACATGGGTGAGGAAAGTGTAAGAAGATAGGAAAAGTAGGAAGGGGTCAGATTGTGCGGGGATTTGAATGTGCAGCGGGTTTTATATTTAATCTTGGAGATGGTGTGTCACCACAGGAACTGACTAGATGGGGGGTGAGGATGAGAGTGACATTGTCAGACCTGCACTTTAGGGAGATCATTTTGACAGTTGAGTAGATGATGGTTTGGAATGGGGAAGGACTTGTGCAGACAGACCCACTAGCAGGCTATTGCAGTAGTCCTGGTATGATGTGATAAGGGCCTGTACCAGGGTGGTAACAGTATCAGAAGAAAAAAGGGGGCACATATGAAAGATGTTGTGAAGGTAGAAATGATTTTGCCACTGACTGGATATGGGGGTGACAGAGAGGGAAGAGTTGAAGATGGACATTGGTTGCAGCCCTAGAGAGCTGGGAGGCTGTGGTGCTTCAACACTAATCAGTTTGAAAGGGGAGAATTTTGGGGGAAAAGATGATGAGTTCAGTTTTGGACATGTTGAGTTTGGTTAGGATGCCTCTGGGCTATCCAGTTTGAGGTGTCCAAAGGGCAGTTGGAGATATAAGACTGGAGGTTAGCAGAAAAGTTAGAGTTTGATAAGTGTATTTGAGAATCATCAGCATAGAGATAATAATTGAATCTCTGGGAGCTGAAATCACCAAGCAAAATAGGGAGAAAAGAAGAAGGCCCAGGGACCTTGAGGGGCACACACATTTAGCAAATGTGATCTAGAAAAAGATATAGCAGAGGAAACTGAGAAGTTACAGTCAGCTAGGAGAACCAGGATAGAGTACTGTCTTAAAAACTTAGAGGGAATTATCAGAGAGAGCAGGGTAACTGACAGTGGCCTTCTCAAGATGTTTGGCCATAAAAGGCAAGAGAAATGAGGGATGATAGCAGGGATGGATGGATGGATCAAGTAAGGGGCTTTTGAGGATGGGGAAGACATGGGGTATGTTTGTAGACAATAGAGAAGCAGTAATAGACAGGGAGAGACTGAAAGTTATTGAGAGGGTAAGGATGATTGGGGGGCAGTCTTTTGGAGAAGATAGGATGGAATGGGATTATTTGTGCATAAGGGTTTGCCTTGGCAATGAGAATAACTACCTCTTCATGTGAAACTGGAGTGAAGGAGTGATAGCGGTAGAAGGCATCTGGGTGATATGAGATAAGGAAAAAGGAAAAAGACAGGGCTATTAGCAAATTTCCTCAATTTTTTTCAGTAAAATATGAGGCAAGGTTCTCAGATGAGAATGGTGGGTAGGAAGGAGCCATAGGGGGTTTGAAAAGATTTATAAGAATCACTGTGGTGAGTGGGGATAATGAGTTAGAGAGGTAAGGATTACCTCTCTAATTAGAGATTACCTAATTAGAAAGGATTACCTAGCGGCAGTGAGGGCCCAGTTGAGATTATGAAACATAAATTTGTTGCAAACCCAGTCGGCATGGTTTTGTGATTTTCACTACCTGTATTCAGCATCAGGTGCATACAAGTGAAGGCAATTAATGCTGAGAGTGATCCAAGGATGAGGCTTGGCAGGGCAAAATCAGCAATATGAGAAGAGGCAAGGGATTCGAGAGAAGACTGTGTGGAGTTGACCTGGATCACTAAGGACTCAAGATGGGGAAGAGAAGAGAGTGTGGCTAGTATAAGGGATATGGCCTGGGATTGAGGGATTGGAGGTGATGGTGTGGAGGAAGAACAGAGTTTGGCTTTGGAAGGCAGGGGAAGAAGTGGAAAACCAATAGATTGTGATTAGATAAGGGAATTTCAGAGTTCATGAACCTGGAGGTGGTACATTTGTGGGTAATGGAAAAATCAAGGGTATGACCATCTCTGTGCATGTCTGGAATAGAGGAGTTGGTCATGGGAGATGACTAAGTTGAGGAATTGGTAGGTTAGGGTGTGAGAGAGAATATCAAAAATATATGTGGAAGTCCTTTAGTATGAGAGCAGGAGTTGGGGAGGAGAGAAAGATTGTGATTGAGGCTCTCATTGGGGAAGGAAAAGGGAGTGTCCTGGAGGTTGGTGAATGGCAGCTACCAGAATTTTGATTGGGTGGGTACTTATGGATTGAGTGAACCTCAAAGGAGTAGAGGTTACTAAGTGAGGAAAGCTCTTTGTAATCCCTAAAGAGCTTTAGAAATATGAGTTATTTTTATCTGAAGAGTTGTTTGATATAAGAAAAAATTTACTAACAATGAGAGCTCTCCAAATAAATGTGAAATGCACTGCTTCCACAGGTAGCGATTACCATCAGTGTTATGTGGACTCTGTCCAGAGTGTCACTGATTACCTGTCAGGAATGCTGTGGAGGAGATTCCTGTACACTCAGGGTTTAAAATACATGCATGCCCTCTAGGATCCCTCATGACTCTGAGATTGGATGATGCTGCAGTATTTTTCACTCTAAAGAAAGCCTGGCTTAGGTAGTCTCTAGAACTGTCCTTGATTAGAAGCAGGTGAGAAATCCTCTTGCAGAGGACACCTCAAATTTCTGTGGCACTTCATGGTCTCATAGTACTTTTTTCACAAATACCTTTAGCTAGTAGAATGATTATGCCCATTTTACAGAGAAAGAAACAAATTCAGAGGTTAAATTTACTTGCCCAAGTTCATATAGCTAGTAAGTGGGAGAGCCAGAACTTGAACCCAGATCTTCTGAGTCCAAGTCTAGCACTTTATCTTGATGCCTGTCGATCATGCTGATAGCTCATATTTAAACCCTGAAGGATTGGTAAAAGTCGTACTAATGACCACTCATATTTTAATAATATTTTAAAGTTTGCCCTCCCTGTATGATTGTTCTAGTTGTCTCTGTCCTTTTCTTGGCCTTCTTTTGCTCTTTAAAAAAATCATTGATGCTTTTTTCTTTCTTTTATTATTATCACTACCACTCTCCTGTACTAACTCCAACTCTTTCCCTCCTCAAGAAAAAAAAAATCAGAGTTTTTCTTGTAACAAATAAAAATAGTTAGGCAAAATGCATCCACACATTGACTGAAACCATATATCTTATTCTGCACCTTTATTCCATCATTTCTTTGGCAGGAAGTGAGAAATGTGATTCAGCAATAGTCTTCTAGAATCGTTATTGGTCATTGCATTTTTCATTGTTCTGAAGCTTTTCAAAATTGTTTTCTTTTACAATGAATTGCCAGTGTATAAAAATGTTTTCCTGGTTCTTCTTATTTTACTGTTTATACAACTCTTTATGCCTTAGTATTTATTGTAAAGATGCCTTGTAAGGATGGAGAATATACGTATTTATTGGGGTTTCTATTCAGTAATTAGTAATGGGCTATCAGATCTCATTGTTTCAAAATTCTCTTTAGTTCCTTACTTTCTTATATATCTTCCTGTTAGAAGTGTTTATATCTGAAAGGCGCACATTGGAGTCCCCAGCAATTAATATTTTATTCTCTATTTTCTACCCTAGTTCTATTAGTTTTTTCTTTGAGTATTTAAATGTTATACCATTTGGTGTATATATTTGATGTGAATATTGTTTCATTATCTGTGACGCAGACCCTGTTGTTCTACAGCTCACCCCACTGCTTTTCTTGTTCTGCTTCCTGGAGCCAAGCAGACAGAACCTAATCCCTCTTCTCCATGACAGTCCTTCAAATACATCCAGACAATTATTTTGTTTCACTTAAGTCTTCAGGCTAAACATTCCCAGTTCTTTCAACCAATCATCTTTCAACCCCTTCCCCCCTCATTTTATAGATGAGGAAAATGAATACCAGAGAGTTTAAGTTAATTGCCTAACGATCATTATAACACAACCAAGCTTTGAATCCAGATCCTCAGCACCCAATCCAGCTCTGTTTCCATTGTACCATGTTGGGTACAGTTAGTGAGTTGAAACAGTTTCTAGCCAGATGCTGTGGCTGACTCCTGGTTTCTTCTCCATCCAAACAGACCAGCCCTATTCCTTTATCTGTTTTTTTTATCTTGGGTCTGTCACTGTCATTTATGGCTAAAACTTCGAAATTCCCTTTCATGACCAGAATCAGACTAATAGGATTTGAACCCAGGTCTTCTGACCTTTAAATCCAGTGGTCCTTCCACTATCTTGTGGTGGGTAGTTCTGAAAATGTTTGTGCTAAGGCCCAGTACCAAGCACAGAGCATTGTGCAAGGGAGGTGCTTAACAAATGTTTGTTGAAAAGTAAGCGTGTTCTCTCCACTGGGAGTTTTTCAGTTATTTCAGTACAGAATATGAAGAATTGGGCTGACTTCTATGGGGCCTTTCCTCAACCTCTCAGCAACCTCAGAAACTTGTCTGTTGGTGGTTTGAAGAGCTGGCTGTATTAACTGTAATCCCCATATGTTAAAACAGCGCTGCCCAGGTTTTCCATGTGTTGTTAATTGATGCTTCACCAGGGGGTCTAGAGACCTGAATTAGTAACTTTTGGAGCACGACGAGTTACTTGATACCTGCAGAAAGAACCTGGGGGAAAGGTGCTTATATTTCACAGATCTGTGAATGCATCAGTGTGGGCACTGCTTTCACTGGTACAGATTCAACTCTCTTCCTCCTTAGATGATTTCGTGAGTTGCTGTAACCAAAAAAACAAAACAAAACATTCCATAATGTCTAATCCTCTCGTGATGACTCTCTTTAATTTCTTTCTTCAGATCAGAAAATATTTGTAAAGCACTTGGCACAGTGCTGAGCACATAGTAGACACTTAATAAATGTTTGCTTCCTTTCCCTCCTCCCTCTCCTCCCTCTTTTGGAATTTGGATAATAGACTCTCAGTCTGTTGCTGGGTCTGCAATCAAAGCATAGTTCATATTTAATATAGAGATGAAAGTCCAGGGTCATCTCCCTACCATAATGAGTCCTTGTAAGAGGACTTCATATAGGAAGTCTTTACCCCACCTTCCAATTAAGGAGGGCAATTATTCTCCCTTGGGCACCTCCCAGTCAGAGAGTTTTAAATTTCCTTTTATCAGTTACATTCTAGAACAACTTTTCCTCTTCAGCAAACTTCATCTCCTTTGATTTTGAAACAGTAGAAAGAGCACTGGACTAGAGTTGGGAGGCCTGAGATTAAGTCTAGGTTCCCACATATGCTAGTTGGGTGACTCTGGACAATTTGTGTTCCCATTTGGGTAGAAATTTTCTCATAAAAAGAGCCTAAATGGTCCACACACTACCCACCTGACAGGGCTGTTGTGAGGAAAAGACTTTATGGCACAAGAGTTATAAAAATAGCTTTGCTTAGATAAGTATAGATAGCTCTTGTGTAATAGGTCTTATGCATACATACCATTAAGTGCTATGGGGATGGGAGGTCTTATTGCTCTCCTGCCTGGGCCTGGCAGATTTGTTTGCACTGTAGAAGAAATGTGGAGGGGCTTCAGCTGAGAGAAAGAGTACTGCTGGTAGAAATTAATGCCACTGATACTGGGAGGGTGTTTATATTTTTTGATATACATCTGAGTTCCAAGCATTTATCAAATACTAAATTAACTGTCATGGAGCTCTTTGAGGTAGTGTACTGGCAGATATGATTGCAGTAAAGAAAGAGATTCCATTAGGAGCAGAATTGCCTTGTGTAGCCCTAAAGGGCAGAACCAGGAGGAATGGAGAGAAGTCATATTCAACTGAGTATCAGGAAGACCTGCTCCATAATGGATTGGGCTGCCTCGAGAAGCCCTGAACTCCCCCTGAAAGCATATAAACAGGGCTGGATGATCCACTGTCAGGGGGCTGAAGAGGAGATTCTTGCACTGGAAGTAAGAGTAGAGTGGGTTGGCTAGATGACCTTCCATTTCTGCAGTTCTTTGAATGGCACAAAACTATCCCAAGCATAGTGGTCACTACCCAGGGCAAAGAAAGCAGATTTTCTTTGATATGGAGCATTTCTGAGGAAAGAAACAGGTTAGCATAATAGAAAGAACCCTTGCCTTGAAGTCATGTGACTGTGATTCTGATCCTGGCACCTTTTTAAATTCACTTTATGTTTCTTAGCCTCAGTTCCTCTTCTATAAAATAGACTAATATTTGCCCCACTTTCATCAGGGCTACTTTGTGAGGAAAGTACTTTGTAAACTGCAAGTTGTCATAGAAATGGGAGCTATTTATTACGATTATTGAGGAATTGTGTGTTATTACTAGACCATCATCTTCATTATTAGCAAACTATTATTATTTAATTCATTATTATTTGGGGGCAACTGTGAGCTACCGTTATTATGAGGGATCTTGTGAGTGGTGATGATGATAACTTTAAGGAGAATAATGCCTATTTTTCTTCCCCTTCTCCAGCACACTGAGGAGGCTTACAAAGGAAGGTTCAAAGCTCGGCCAGAACTGGAAGAATTATTGGCCAAAATGAACTAAGAGATGGTGGACATATTTGAAGAACCTGCTGAATAAATGGATTTCTGCTGAGTTACAAGATTGAAATAGTAAATATGGACTCTTAGAGACCTTCAGCTTCTGTTCCCTCAGCCAGAGAGCCACCAGTTTCCTCCACTGATTGTGTATATTGTTTGTAAATAAAACTTTTTACTTTGAGCCAGTGAGATTGCTGTCAGTTTAATGTAAACAATTATAGATGCTATAATTGGCTTCCTTACATGAGCATGTGAAGATCTGCCCAATCCTACATGGCTTCCTTGATGGGATTTTACCTTTTTTGTGGCATAGGATCTCAGAGTCAGGAAGGGCCTCAGAGAGCATCTGGTCCAGCCGGTACCTAAGCAAGAACCCCCCTCAAATATTTCTGAATAGTGGTCATGTAGCCACCACTTGAGGATGTCAGGTGATAGGAACTCACTGCCTACTAAGGTATCTTCTTCCTCTTCTGGACATCTTTGTCAATGAGGATATTTTACCCAATATTGATTCCTTCCAGTTCTTACCCCTCAGAGAATGAAGAATGAGTTTAATCCCTCTTCCCCCTGATAGTCATTCACATACTTGAAGACAGCTAACATATCTTAGCCACCCCCTCTCCCTCAGTCTTCTCTCATCCAGGTTAAGTATCTTTGGTTTCTTCAACTAAAATCCATTTTGACAGCTTCCAAGCAGGAAGGCTTTCCTGGAGAGCTGTGCTTTCCTGGGATAAACAAAAGATTTTTTTTCCATCAGTGTTTATCCAGCTGAAGTTTCCTTCTGAAATCCTTTTCTAAAGGGAAGAATCCTCTTTAAAATGTAAATCATTAAACTTATATAGACTAGAGAAAATGAGATAGGTAGGGGGCAGGGCAGGAACATGAGCACTGTATTCAAATTTTTGAAGGGTTGTCATAAAGCAAAGAGAAAAGGTACTTTAACAGCTACAAGAACCTTGAACTTTCCCCTATACCCACCACCATCTCACCCCAAAGGACTCTCCACACGTCTTTTGTGAGAAATTATTGTTAATAACCAATATCTTGGGGAGATTCAGAAGCTCTCCCTTTTTTCTAAATTCCTCATTTTAAAAAGTTCCCTTTTCTTGAAGCACATTACTGATTATGAGATTTCTCTAGATCTTGGTCAGACCCCACCCAACCTTGAATTTAATCTAGGGTAGGGAAGCCCATTGTGTTCTACTCAAACTTGAGTGGAGACTGATCCTTTTGTCTAGATAGCCTAGGCTGGGAATGGGCGGAGTAGAGAGAATTTCTCTGCCTGGGATCACTCTCAGCCCCCTCCCCCCCAATGAAAAGGGCATATTCTTTGAATTGATAGCCTAAAGCTATGGGTGGGCTGGTGTAGAGATACTTTCCCTATCCAAGAGATACTTAGCTCTTCATTTTAATATAGCCTCCCTCCAATCATGTTAACATTAGATTTGATTGCTGTTTGTTCCTTGGTCTAAGAGAGATGGCCAAATGGCCATCCTTTTGTCAATAACCTGCAGGCTGCCTTAATAAAATGGTTAAATTACCTAGAAATTGTCTCTCAGACCTTTTTAAACTTTACACTTTTTCATTGACTTGAATGGGATGGAATTTGTTTGCCCCATGGCAACTACTAGTGCTCATGCCAGCTTGCTTGTTTTTGGTGGCATGGAAAGCTTCACCACCCAATGCAGAAGGAGGCCTGCTTCTCACCTACCTCTGTGCCTCTGCATTATGTGTGATATTAACATGGGGCATGCTGAGCTTTTAACAATCCCAAGCTGCTTCCCAGTGCAAAGACCCATCTTTTCAACACATTCTGCTGTTGTGGCCCCCAGGGAAAAAAAGTAGGACCAGGATCACAGATTATCTGAGTTGGAAGGGACATCATAAATCATGTAGTTCTAACTCTACTGAACAAGTATCCTTTATCTATGGTGTACTCTAAAAGTAGTCATCCAAACTATTCTTGACCTTCAGTGATGGGAATCTTTAGGAATGCTGTAGAAGATATTCCTAGATCGGGCAAAATTTTGGACTAGATAATCTCTGAGGCACCCCCCCCCCATTTGTGCCTTTACCTTTTGTTTATTCAGTTTTCTTAAAGTGGGACAGACATGTACAGAGTTCAAGTTGCATTTATCACTATCTCTGCCAGTGAACACAATCCAGGCTTTTTTTCCCCCTCTCTCTTATTGATTCTAAAGGCAACTGCACAGAGTTGAAATTACCTCTGGAGAATTTCCTGATATTTCTTCTTGTTGTTGTTGATATTAGTATTGGCATCTCAGTACTTTAATGGATTTGTGATCTCTTGGCTATGGATATCATCTTCTAACATGCAAATCATAGCCCATCCTGGTGATTCTTGTCCTCATTCTTTCACAGATCTTCCAACATATTAGAGGGTTTCCTCTAGGTTTATTTTTACATTTTAAGGGTATCTACAGAGCTTTCAGGCTCTTCATCTGATCATCCAACTGCATGCCATATGCTGGACAGTATTTTTTGCTCACTTAAATTTTCCTGTATGGAAAACAATGTATAAACTGATCTCTTCTGAATGCTCATGGATCTCATGAAGGAAGCCCTGTAATGTTCTGGTGCTTGATGCAATCAGCACAATATTGTCTACTCATAGGTGAATCAGGAGGAAGCTACAAACTATAAGTAATCCCTATTCCATTGGACTATACTCCAAGTGTGTCAAACAACTGGCCCACAGGCCACCTGCAACCCACAACACTCTTGAGTGAAGTCTAAACCAGATTAAAATATGATTAGTGAATATCTAGTAAAATCCAATAAAACATAAATTATGCTACATTTTAAAACTAAGTCAATACATGCCCCGCAGGGATCCTTTTTCGACACCACCGTCATACAAGATGAACCTCATGACAGTGCCAGCACCTTTGGGAAGCATCCATCTCCTTGTTTTATGCCTCACTTTACATTAGTAATCAGAAGGCCATTTAACAAAGTTATCCTATGGTTACATTCTGTGTAACCTTAATACATTCAGGAGAGAGTTAATGTTGGAGGAGAGCCTTTAAAATTGTATTTTGTTCTACTGAGTCAAGTGCTTTTTTGCAGTCAAACAAGAAACACAGGAGAATTTTATATTCACCGCACCTACCAGTTAATTGGAACATTATCAAGTTAAGAACTGCTACAAAAAAAATTTGTAATCTCAGGGAGGTGGGGGGAAAGGAGGGAGGAAGGGAAAGATAGAATTTGGAATTCAAAACTTTAAATAAAAATGTTTTTTTAAATTTGTAAAAGTTTTTCTGTGCTTTTCTTATATTTTTCATTAATATCTTCAATATAAATATAAAGGGTTTTCATAAAGATTTTGTAAAGATGAGAAATTCACTGATTCCTTTGGCTAGGTTTTCATGGCCCATTGGTTCTCTTATTTGGTTGCTCCTCATTCTTCTTTGTTGGATCTTCCTCCAGACAATTAGTCAGCAAACATTTATTAAGTCTTTACTATGTACCGGTACTTTGCTAAGTGCTGGGGATAGAAAGAAAGACCAAAACACTTCCTGCCCTCAAGGAGTTCACAGTCTAAAGAGGGAAACATTTAAATAACTTTATACATATAAGATACATACAGAGTGAATGGAAAATAATCTCAGACAGAAAAACACTGGCAACTGTGGGGGATCATGAAAAGCTTCCTGAAGAAGCTTGGATCTAACATAAGTCTTGAAGGTAGCCAGGTAAGGTCAGAGGCAAAGGTGACTAGGGAGAGCATTGGGGAACAGCCTTTCAGTGCAAAAACATGGAGTCCAAGAGATGGTAGGCCAGTGTTGCTGAATCATAGAGTTCATGGAGGGGAATAAAGTGTAAGAAGGTTGGGAAGTTAGGAAGGGGCTAGGTTATGAAGAGCTTTAAATGCCAAAAAGAGGGTTTTATATTTTATATTCATCCTAGAAGTAATAAAGAGCCATTGTAGTTTATTGGTATGAAAGGGTGATGTGGTGATGAGACCTATGCTTTAGGAAAGTCAGTTTGCAGATGAATGGAGGATGGCCCAGAGTAGAAAAAGACTTGAGGAAGGGGTGCCAACTCGACTAGAGCACTACTGCAGGAGTCCAAGTGAGAGGTAATGAGCCTGAACAAGGATTGTGGCTCAGAAGTAGAGAGACTAAGATGTAATTGAAAGATTTTGTGAAGGTAGAAAAAAGATTTGGTAACAGATTGGTTATGTGCAATGAATGTGACTGAGAAGATGAGGATGACACCAAGATTTTGAGCCTAGATGCCTGGGAAGATGGTCGTGCCCTCAACAGCAATTAGAATGTTTAGAAGAGGAGAGGGTTTCAAGGGAAAGAAAATGAATTCTATTTTGGATATAGTAAGCTTGAAATGTCTTTGAGACATTCAATTTGAGATGTCCAAAAGATAGCTGGTGATGTGAAACTGGAGCTCAGGTGAGAGGACAGGGTTGGATAAACAGATCTGAGAACCATCTGCATAGAAATGATAATTGAATTCATGGGAAGTGATAAGATCCTGAAGGAAGACAGTATACAATGAGAAGCAGAGAGGGTCCAGAATAGACCCCTGGGAGACACCCACAGTTAGTATACATGACATGGATAAGAAACTAGCAAAAGAGACAGTATCAGACTCAGACAAAGGAAAACTAGGAGAGAACAGTGTCAAGAAAACCCAGAGAGAGAAAAGAATCCAGGAGAAAAAGGTAAGCAACAGGGTCAAACGCTGCATACAGTCAAGGATGAGGATTAAGAAAAGGTTATTAGATTTGACAATTAACAAATCATTGGTAACTTTGGAGAGGGCAGATTACAAATAGAATTCAATGAAAGAAAGGAAGTAGAAGAATGGAACAGCTTTCTCAAGGACTATAGTGGGGGTGATAGGATCAAGTGAAGATTTTTTTTAGGATGAGGGAGACATGGCAGTATTTGTAGGGAATAGGAGAGAAACCAATGTGTAATAACAGATTAAAGATAAGAGACAGTGAGAATGACAGTAAGGGAAATTTTCTGGAAAAGATGAGATAGGTTAGGATCAAGGATAGAAGTGGAAGAGATAATGGGAAAATATATCTAAATGATGAGAGATAAAGGAGGGTAAAAGAGGGAGCCCAAGGCAAATGGCTCCAGTTTTCTTTGGTGAAATATGAAGTAAGGTCTTCAATTGAGAGGGTATGGGCAGGAGAA